AAATGTAGAATATGGTTTATTATAAAATTTAATAAACATTTTCTGATTTTAATAAATATTTTAAAAAATACTAACTAGTTAATATTTTATTACTTGAAAAGTATTTTATGTTTTATATTATAAAGTAATTAATTTATTCTTTTGTTTTTATATTTTGTTAATTCTTTTTATAAATATTTTATTTGAAATATTAAATAGAAATATAAATGAAATAATCTATATTAATATACTGTATTATGTTAATATAATATACTAATATATTATATTTTTAATGTACATTAGTTGACAGATTGTCGACATTAGTCAACATCTTGTCGACATAATAGGAAAAACTATTTTTTTTGGTTATAGGAAACGTCGACCGACATAATGTAATTTTTTAATTACCATCCATTTTCATGTCGGTGAGCCTCGACATCGACATATGTCGGGCGACATTAGCAACATTTGGCGACATTTGAAACCATGCTTATATTACAACTTGGCTGTGTGCAAATTGTTGTGTCAATTATTCACTCATTTAGTTAGTCAATTGACATCCCTCGGTTTGATGAGGGCATGGGTTCAAACCTGCAAAAGGGCAGGCTCTCTCCATGTCAAAAATTCCAGTGGGACTGCATGCAGATCCCTGCTAACTGGGTCTAGTGCATATCACCTTGCCACATCACTCTTCTGTGTGGTAAAAAAAATCATTGGATTGGGTTCTCATTCTTCCAGAATTTGAGGGGGTCTCAAGAAAATCTTGGTGCTGATTTTTGGAACATTCTTGAGCTGGTTTAGAGGCTTTGTCTCTCTATTGGCTTTGGTTTTTCTACTAGTTTGGTTGTACTTTCTTTTTAGTCTTGTAATTCTGTTGATCTCCCATCATTCTCAATTGTACCTCTTTCTTTCTTAATAAATTTCTTTTTTATTTACTACCAAAGAAGGGGGCTAAAGCCGCATCACATTTACCAAAGAAATTGCAAATTGGCTGTTTTTACGTACCTGCTTCTTGGAAAAGTTTCAGAGAATCAACCGATGCTTCCATCACTCCACCTTAAAAGCATTTTCTAGTCTGCAAGGTAAAGGCTTAAGCAAGAGGGAAGATAATTTGACAATGCTTTCCCTTCATGATCTTCTGGCTGGTATGGGATGAAAGAAATATAAGAATATTTCAGAACACCTGCACAACAAGAAGTTGTTTTAAGAGAAGTTATCAGCTCAGTTTGCTCATGGATGACGATATGTAATCTGAAAAGAATTTGAAGATTCAGGAACTATCCTTTCTCCCATAGGTGATTCTAGGCGACACAAGGGCGCCTAGTCGCCTAGGTGATAAGAAGTTTATAATAAAAGAACTAACTTTTTTTGAAACTGTAAGGTAAAGTATTTCATTAAAATAAGGCAGTCAACAACATAGAAGCCCCTGTACAATGAGATATGACCAGACTGACAGAGGATATACAATTCAGCCCATTACAACCAAAGTCCCAAAAAACAAAAATAACTATCCACTCCATACAAAAGAAAATCAAACTCAAAAAGGATCTATAATTTCTGCTTCTAAACAAAGGGTGAATTGCCAACCATGAGTAGACCATCCCCAGTATTTTTCTTGGAACTTCTTCCTTTGAGGTCTGAATTCCCTCAAAAATTCTGTTATTTCTTTTACTCCACACAGCCCATAGTACAGCTGTGGGAAAAATGCTCCATGCCACCTTTCCAGCCCTGCTTAGACCTCCAAGACACCAAGCCTCTATGAATCCCTTCACATCAGCTGGGAAGAATAGCTTAACCTCAAATAGTTCCATCACTCTTAATCACACCCAGTGAGTAAAGTCACAATGAATCAGCAAATGGCTAGATGACTCCACATCTTCATTACATGGAGGACATGCCATATCCACCACCTCTAAACCTCTTTTAACTAAATCCTCTTTGGTTAGAATCTTATCCAGCACTGCTGAGCATACAAAGAGAGTTCAGATTAGCTGAACGCTTTAGCTGTTCAGTGGGCTGTGGAACCAATGATAAGGTTCCATGCCAGTACTAAATTTATGGGCCCCACTGTAAAAGATGCGGGCCCCATGTATTTTAATACTGGCGTGGAACCTTATCATTGGTTCCACAGCCCGCTGAACAGCTAAAGCGTTCAGCTAAACCTTGCTCACACAGGCACAGCTCTAATCCATATCCTGTCACTTGGAAAAGAGGTGACTTCCTCCCTTGATACAACTTTGAAAAAGGATTTCACAAAGAACTAACTTTTCGCTAGTTCCTTAGTTTTATATATCATTAATCATGCATATTAATTGAAAAAATAGCAATTCTCTCTATTAAGAACATTAAATTTCCTCTCAAAATGTGGCAAATCATCATTTCTAACAGATAAGAATCTTTTAAATATATTAATTTCATTATTTCCAATAGTGATACTACTAAAATAAGTATTTCATAAAGCATTTCTTATCAATTAGCAACTAAAGAAGGTTATTAACTTTATATGATAAAAATTCAAGATGGAAAGTAAAAATAGGAAATAAAAATGAGGATGAAATTGCTGTTTTATTTAATTGAAGCCTTGGAGGGAGATAGAGAGAATAAGAAACAAAAAGAAAAACCTCTCAATACTTTGTTTTAAATTTCATTTTTATCGCCTCAGCAGGTGCTTAGTTGCCTAGATGGGTGCCTAGTTGCTATAAGTCAAGGCATTTGGGCGAGGCGCCCAGCCAAGGGCACCTAGTCATCTAGGCAACACTTTGACAACTATGTTCTCTCCCCTTTGTTGTTTTCTATTTTGTTTAGGCAGCATGGGTAGATATGGCATACATGTTTCTGTTATTTATTTTTTTGGGGGAGGTGGCATACTTTTTGTCAATTAATACAATTAAACACTACATTCTTCAAAGGGAAAATGATAAGTACGCATATTAACTTCTAGATTCTACTGTTCAAATTAGTTTTGCATTAGATGTCTCATATTTGTGCAGGGAGCACTGATCTGCAGAGAGGTACTGTACATCAAATCATAACCCGAAGAAAAAATCTGTACAATGCCCTTGCGGGGCTATTTGTGGTATTTCATGTAGCTCTCCTTTCCTCTTCACTTTGATAGCCATATTTTCCAACTTCTAAGATGTCTCAGTAATAGATACATCACCATTACACTTAACACCACTTGTGAATAATTTGATGTTATACCCCATTCCTCCAGGGCTAAGGTCTTATTCCCTTTATCCATCATCCAATTCTTCCTTTTTACTCCAACCTATGAAAGTATTCTTTGGCTCTTGCATCACCCTCTCCAACACTCCTAGTAAAATGGCACTTTGCTACCAATGTTTTTCTACTCAATTCTTATTCAGTAAGGTTATCCTCCTTTATCTATATGCAAAGTCTTCCTCATATGGTTGGGAATTCAAAACATCTACAGCAGGACTTTTTTGATGAATTGGATAATCTTTTGATTGGTACCTCTTGGTTGACGTCTAGATTAAACCAAGTTAGGTTGGGTCTCATTTCCACACTTCAAGAGCATCATATTTTTCCCTTGAGAAGATAGATCCTTGTTCTTCAGAAGGTCAACTCTAGAATGCTTCAGTTCCCAAGTATCCATGGCTTGATATTTTGAAAAAGAATGTTTTATATTTTATGAAACAGCTTAACAAAGAGGTTACCTGTAACTACTAGGTAATAATATTATCACTGTATGAGGTCCAATTTTCAGTAAATATTCATGAAAGCATTCTTCCTTTCTTGTTGTCGATGCTTTGCTCACATAGTGGTTCAATAGCTAATCAATTGATCCAAGTATTGGTATTCAAATATTTAATTTATGGAAATTCTATAATATTGCCTGTACTTCACAGAATGGTACCTAAAATAATTGATTCAATTTAACACTGATTTGCCTAACATCTAGCTGGCTTCTCAGATAAAAGTTTGCTCTCTTTGGATATGACATAGGGGTGACAATTTTTGGTACCATACTGCCAAAAACTACATTTGATGCCTTTGCAAGACCCATTTAATTTAATTTATTTTTATTTAAAACTTTTCATTTTTATGATAACTTGATAAGCATACTGCTTCTATTTGTCAGGACTTCCGGCAGAGACATCCATTGAGAGATTTGTTACAATTGGGGCTTATAGTCTTCTACGATCCTGCACAATTGAACCTGAATGCATAATAGGGCAGCACTCTATCCTTATGGAAGGTTCATTGGTGGAGACTCACTCCATCCTGGAAGCTGGTTCTGTAGTCCCACCGGGCAGGAGAATTCCAACCGGGGAACTTTGGGCTGGAAACCCTGCGAGGTTTGTTAGGAGTCTGACACACGAGGAGATATTGGAAATCCCCAAACTTGCAGTTGCAATCAATGATCTTACTAAGAGCCATTTCTCGGAGTTCCTCCCTTACTCCACAGTTTACTTGGAGGTTGAGAAATTGAAGAAATCTTTTGGGATCCCTATTTGAAATCCTTTCGTTTTGTGTGTATCAATAAGCTGGACTTGCTTTCAGAGGAAATAAATAAGGATCCCCAAAACTCTTCTTAGGAAGCTTCTGAATTTTGAGTACTTGTTTTTCCTTGGGATTGTTGGAAAAAAAAAAAAGGTTTTAGATTCAATTTGACGATGCAAAGTAATGTCAGAATTTATTTTGCAGTTGTTAGAAGTCTATGACTATATGAAGCATTAATATGTAGAGTTATATCGAAGGCCGGTGTCGTTTTTCCGATGGAAGGAATTGACCCAATTTTGCTTCACATTTTCCCCTGAACTCGTGAGAACTCAATAGATAACTAGTGGCTCTACTTTCCTGTATATGAACCCTAGTTGAATCATGATCATGCTTAGGACTTAAAGATGGACACTTCAATTTTGCTTCATTAACAATAGCCTAGTGCAGACTGCAGAGTGTGCTGACGACAGATTAAATCAAGCCCGCGTCAAAGTTCTGGCACTATCTTGACACCCATTGCAATTTTTTCTGCGTAAAATTTTCCCAACGGCTGGTGCGATTTCAGAAAGTATTCTTCGTTCATAAGTGCCTTCCAGATGGCCGATGCATAAAATTTTCAGAAAGTACTTGTTCGAAAGGTAAATGGTTGACCACAAGGTCAAGCAGAGCGAGGCAATTCCAACGTTTACAGAATAAAGGTGGAGATTAATAAATGATGTTAATGATAGTTGATAAGCTGACAAAAGAAGACAAAGGATCTAATGACCAATCTTTCCATTTTAACCAAAGCAGGTTTGCTACACAAGTTGTTTAGCTGTAATTTATGAGGGCATAACTGGTTGAGTTTAGAGCTAATACGGACATGAAGATTAAACATGTAGAGAACCTGTGTGTCCTTTCTCCTGAAGTCTGGATCACCCACATATCTCTCCATCTGGCAAAAATAATAAGTAGGGCCCGTCAAGGAAAGTTTCCTACTTAACCTGATTAAAAAGCCTTTTTTTCCGTTAAAACCCAATGTGGCCCATCCATCTGGAGTATTGTTTAGGAAGGGTGAAAGCATGGGTTCAAAGAAACAATAAAAAACAATATGTTTTTGTTTCCCTCTAGACTCTAGACTCTAGAGAATAGAAATGCTCCAACCAGTTGTCCATCTGAATGGACGACGGACAGGTAGCTCTCCCTTTCTCAGACCCGGCCTGTGTTGTTTTATTTTATATATATTTTTCTTGTCACACGCACACGAAATGAATATATGATGGAAACTTTGAACTAAATCACAGAGAAAATGCGACAAGTAAGTTAGGTCGATTATGTACTAAGCAAATGGGTTGGCGAATTTATAGCTTCTATGCGTCTTTAGTGGACATATGAGAAGAGAATAATAGACAATAGACAAAGAGAGAAGGGTGGAAAATCAAAATAAAATGATTAAAATAAAAAAGGGTATTCTGATCTAATACTCAAATTGCATTTAAAACCAAAACTTAAATGTCAGAGAAGGGAATAACTGATGTCACCATGATTTTCGTTGATTATACATTACTTATTAAACAGATATAAAATATACCATTTTATCACAAACTACCGGCAACAACCGTGTTGGTAAGCGTACGTTCATCATCACCATTAATATTATGGTGATGTCGTTGGGATTTTTCTCTGGTGTTTGTATTCATGGAATGGGCTCTACCCAAAAATACCCATTACTTAGTGTAACAGGATCGTGACTAACTGATTTGGCACAAGCCATTGTTGGGAATCCAGAAGCCATTTCCGTGGAATATAATTTAATGATTTAGATGGGGGTTTGATTGGGTGAATTGGTGAACCGACCAGTTCCGGTTGCCGGCTCTACCAAAGATATTGACAATTCTGACAATGACTATTATATTACTAATAGAAAGGTTTGAAAACTGGAAATGCGCAATAAGGACGTACGCCAGTGTGAAAATGGAACCCTCTTTCTGTGATTCACTATTGTTGAGACATTGCCACGAACTATTAATTTAGTGCAATTTGATAGAAAACCAAATCGACTGGTTTTCTTCACTTTTAATATTTTTTGCCACTCCCCCCAATCCTTTCTGAATTGTGAATTGCGGAGATTTGGACGTCTCAACTGTTGTCCTATGTTGCTCATAAACCTCCTCCATTTCTGAAACCTGAACCAATTTATATTGTCCTGCAAGTCCACCACCACACCACGCCTAGCTCTTCAGTATCGGTCGGTTCTCATCAACATCAACTTCTCTTTTTTGCTGTCATAAGAGCAATATATCATCGGCGGTAAGGCTTGAAACAAATACAAATGAATAGCGGCTAAGCTGCCTATGATCCTGAAGGCGCAACCCGTTCGTCTGCATTCGACCATTCATGGAGGCAAGTGGGGATGATTTCTTTTCCTTCTTCCGTACGTCGTCGTTAATTACTAGCCGATGCTCGGTGAAACTGAGATGTTGGAACGGCTCAATCAAATCAAAACTCCTAAGAATTGAATTAGGTGCTTTCATTTGATTGAGCCGTGCCAATATCATGTTAACTCTAACTCAGTTTTAATTGTCATCAGCTCTCTGTTAGCTAGTAATTCCTCAGAAACACCCATGAAATTCTCTCTATATATAATTATTACCGTTTTGAGTACTTGTGAGTGACTGCTAATTTACTAAAGATCAACATCGATCAGTCTTACTGGTCTTATTTTACTTTATTGCTTAGGTTATTAAGAAAGAAAGATTAATTACAAGGGAAAAAAAGTTATAAAGACCAGAAAAGTAGCTATTTTCTGTTGTTGTTGTTTGCAGGAATATGGTAACGTTCCAATGGAACGTTTATGGTGTTCCTCCCAACAGAAAGCAACAATTTTCTGCTCCCTGGAACAACAGAAACGTACCAAAACAGCCTCGATTTACTTAGAGTTTGAATCTCCTGCACCAAAGCAAGGTTTCAGTAGGGTCGTTATAAACTGCTTTCATACCACCTGGGAATCCCAGTCTGTACAAATATGAATGAAAAAAAAAGGCAAAAACGGAAGTGATCATAATATTCTCAGATATGGATTTTCCTGTTTTACCTTCTACAACAATCATAAAAAGAATGTTAACATACTAAGATTTAAAAAAACAGGAAGAATTTCACTGACTTCTCTTATTTTCTGAAAGAAAAAAACACTCTTTTTTTTGTTCAAGAACATTGTTATTAATTATATAATCCTCTAGTAGTGTTTTTTCTTTTTTTTTTTTTTGTTATATCCATCATTATAGTGTTTTTAATATGCATGACCATTAGTGCTATCCACTAATTACTTGATATCCATCGTCAAACAAATTCTTGCAATCATCCGTGGAAACACGGACAGAATCCCCGTTTGTTTTGATACAAACACCAAGAAATCTGCTCTGTGATTGGATCACTAGTGTGTCCTTATTTTAATTTACTGGGCGCTCTCACGAATTTTCATGAGTCTCAACATATGCGAACTCACTTCTAAGTCTAACAATACAGGTTGATAGTCTGCTTTTGTTATCAAAGCGCCATAGTCATCATGATCACTAATGAGGAGCTGAGAACGGGGGAAGCTAGATTTAGGATGCACTGATTATGTATCAGAGTTCAGAGAACACGCTAAAACAGAAGAAAATGGAAAATGGCAACAGAGTAAGCAAGCACACAAAGAAAAATGAATCGCCTTGCTGCATGATAAAAAATGGCTTCATACACTACAAGAAAATGAAAATCAATTCTAGTTTTCCTTTTTGACTTGGTCTTGAGCACAGCATTAATTCTGCTTTCAGCTTTTATACGATCAAGCATTTCTTAACAGATTGCTTTCCTGAGTTAACTTGAGCTTTTATTCATCAATAACCGAAGCAGCATCATGCAATCGAGAATGGGTATCTATTGGCAATTCAATTTTCTCAATTATTTGACCATTTCTTTATAACCATAACTCTCACTTCTATGGTCAATGAAATTTGGGGGAAATTTGTATTTGTATTTCTTTATAAATTCCCATTAGGGTGTATTTTGAACATTTGCTGCACGTGAATCAAAAATTCAATCAATCAAGTGAAAGGCGCGTCGCATGGTCAATTTACCTTTCATTGATTCATATCATACAAGGTGTAATTACCATTAAAGACTTTTACAACTTAAAAAATATCACTGTGATGTATTGCTTTGACACTGATTTGTTGTTCACGTTTGCATTATATTACAGCAATTTCCATGAGATGCACCATAAATTTTGCCTTGTATATATTGATGTTGGTGGAAAATAACCTAAGTTTGTTTTCAATTCGTTTTGCTAATATATTTTTAATTAAATGTTGCTCTCAAAAGATGATTTATCTCAAATGTGGCAAGAGATATATAACAAAGATGATGTTTAGCAGGGTGGTTTTGCATATATGGGGGTGCAAATTGGGTTGGCCCGAGTTAATATTTTACACTGATTCAGACTTAGGTTTTGGGTTGGGCTCATTCGAAATTTTGACTAAAGTCCAGCCCAAGTCCGCCCAATTAATTAGTTGTTATTATATATTTTCCTATTCTGTTTATTTTCTGCTGCTTTTAGGAAATATTTATGATATCATGCTGAATTGCTGATTTTGTGTTTGAATGGTGTGGTTGAGGCCGTTGAAATCGTGAAGCAGGAGCGTTTCCCGTTTTCCACAGGTTGTATTGGGTCGGACATTGGTTCAGAGAGTAGTCAGGCTTTAAACCGACCCCTCTGAACCAGTTTCGAAAAAACTAAAACTTAAAAAAAAAGTACCAATACAGGCTGATATGCCCTACCGGTATATCAGCTTGTGTAGATACTTTGAACCTTAATTGTCTTCTCTGATATTGTGTGTTTTTCAAAGCTGCGTTTGGAAATAATGCAAATGGATAGATCCCGGTTCAGGATAAATTTGGACTCTGGTTCACTTTGCCTGTGTTTGGTAACATTACATTTATGCATTGACAAATTACAGACCAATGCATATTTACATTGATAATAAGATGTAAAAGTACATCAATAAAAAAGAAGTAAATTTGCATTCAAGTGGGCTTTTGATAAAAAAAAGCATATGCTTTATTGGAATTCATGTTTGCATCCATTACAGCTAAAAGTCTGTTTGGTAAGTAAATTTGTCAGTGCAAAACTAACCCAATTTTACAATTTATATAAACCATGGTTTTCAAAATCAGACCAGAAAAACCGGGAACCGGTCACCTGACCGGTTCCGTTTTCCCCAAAAATCGGATTTCCCCCCAAAACTGTTGATTTTGATCAACGAACTACTGAACCGGGCGATTAACCGTTCAAATGGTTTTGACCATTTTTTATTTTTTTATTTTTCTATCAGAATGGGCCGAGCGTTCAGTTCAAACGGTTGGACTATTCAACCCGATAACCGGACCTCTGACCGGTTCAGTCACCGGGTCATTTTTAAAAACCTTGATATAAACCATTTTACACTCTACATATTTGCATTCACACTTATTTGCATCATTTTCAGCCTAATTACATATGGGTGGGTGCCAAGTAAAAAGCAAGATGTGTACAACAGGTTATGAAACCGAATCAGGAGTAAAGAAGTTGCAGATACATCTGATGATGACAGTATGGATCATTCACTGTATGTGTTAAATTATGATTGGATTCGAATCCATAGCTCATCGTACACATCTTGTTTGTAGCAGACTTTCTCCCCCTTGAGGATGTTAAACAAAGGAGTTGTCTTGGAAGAGATTCTCTAGAATATTTATTTTAGATGTGAAATCCAACACCTTTAGACATCTATTTTCAAGGTTATACAGATGCTACCGACCTTGCCAAACAAGATAACAAAGCAAATAACAATGTTGAGCTTAAAAGGCATTTCCAACAATGGAGAATGGGGCAAGAAAGATGCTAAGCATACAGTTTTCTTCCCTTTTTATACCATATATATAATCAGAAATATTCTGCATGTATGGACAGTAGGGAACCCACTTTGATTCATTCAAATGTTTCTAATATATGGTGTAGCAAGTTTGCGAGGCATCCAAGGGAGAAAATTGCATACTTAAAATTTATCAATTTATCATATGCAGCATCCATATTTGATTGATTCATGTCAACTATATGGTTTTAAAAAAATATCGGTATTGGAGACAAGGTTCAAAAAATCGATAAGATATGCATCATATCAGACGTATTCTTTCATATCTTTTGGGTCCCGAAACACCTGCAAATCCACCTTTTTTTAATTCCCTAAAAATCAAAATTTGAAAAAAAAAACTAAAAAAATCCTTTTTCCGTGTGTATCTAAATACCGATACACAGGCGTAGAGACATACCGATACTTTGAACCATGATTGGAGCCAAGGGCATTCACATTGACTGTTAATGGGAGAAATTACAAAATAGATTCTTATTGAATTCCAATACCTAAAGAATGGTGATACGCTGGGTGACGAAATAGCCATTGCCACCACCCACCAAGCACAAGCTCGAAATATACCATAACATCACTTGATAAAGCAGTGAAATGTATCGTGATTACCATACACCATCAAAATGCCTTCGCTTGTCTCATGACAGACAACTATGCTTTCACTTTGCCATGCAACCCAGTTCTGGCTCCATGGAATGGATGAGACTAGGAGAGTATTATGGATAGGATGAAAGTATGGCACTTCACCTGGACAGAACATTGAGCGTTCAGACTCATCATACATTTATTTAAGTCATACCGAGGAGATCACCAGGGCCTAATGTGAGACCTGGTAGACGACTGTAATGATATGCACCTCTGCTCCATAAAAAGAGTAGCCAAAAACGAGCAGGATGAAGTGAAGCCTAGCTTGATTATGAAAATCGATTAGTAGGAAAACTATTAAAATTGACCTGGTACATGGTGCCCCTTTCCCATTTCAACTTTTCCCCTTATCTTTCTATTTATTTCATTTTCCATCGAACTCGGTAGATTAGAAAATGGGTCTAGAAACAAGTTCAAAGATAACAATTTAAACAAGAATACCCACAAAAGAATTGGATGGTGAAGCTTCAAACTTGGGCAATTATTTATAATAAACCCTATCCTCCATTGAAAGATCATTGTTTCTCCTCCTTGGAGATATCTTTATGGGGAACCTGGGATTCCAGTTCCCTAGGTTTTGACTTTTCTGAAGCCCTGAAAAGATGTTTACAATAGGGTAAATAAATGCTGTTAGGGCAAGCTCATAAAGAAACAAGACAAAATAGAAGTAATATCAATTATCAAAAAATCAAAATAACAAACGAATTATTTGTCCACTTTGCCCCTTGAGAGTGCAAAAGCTAAATGCCATGCAGAGAGCACCCATTTTAAACAAAATGCAGGAAAAAGAGTAAGTAAATCGGCCACTTCTTGAAAGATGAAAATTTGCATCGTGGAAGAAAGGACATGAAGCTGTCATCCCCTGCCTATCTGGAATATGTATGCAATCTAAAGTGAAGAGGGTCAGGAATAATATTAAAATATTAATCATCTTTTATAGTCAGAAGCAACATGTCCAAAAAATGAAGGCGGCAGAAATGTGCATGCTGAGATGGATGAGTGGAAAAACTAGAAAGGATAGAATCGGAAATTAAGCCATTTAAAGGAACATAAGAGCAGCTCCAATAGGTGATAAAATGAGCGAAAGTAGACTAAGATTGTTTGGTCACGTGCATAGAAGACTATCCAAAGCACCTGTAAGAAGTGATTAGTTGCAATTTGAAGGGCCTAGAAGGGCTATGGGAAGACCAGAAAGGACATGGGTAGAAGTAGTGAGAAATGACTTAAGCGCCAATAATCTGCATTAAACAGAACGGATTGGCAAAACAGGCTTCATGTAGTCAACCCCATATAGTTGAAGGCTTGGATGACAATGAATCCTTTTTTAATAGAAAAATATTAATTCATTAAGTTCTGTGAAAAACTAAAACCCATATAGTTTCCAAGTTTCCAACTATATGTCATCCACAACTACCTCAGATCAAATTGACAACTACAAGAAAGTGTAGCTTATCAGTATGGAAAAATCTATGGTTGTTGGGCTAACAACCAAGAAAATAACCCAAGTTTCAAACAGATGGTTGAAGAGTTGGACAACTACATACATGTCATTGCCATATTGCCACATAAACTGCAACCTGCATATAATTTAATAGCCCTAATGAGCCTAATGCTCTATCTCACAAGAATCTTTTCTCCCTGACTTCTGAACCTATGAAATAGACATCCGATGGTCAATGTCCCCAAGGTTTCACAAGATTCTAGATCTTTCTCTTCTATGTGTTTATTTCTTCCCTCTAATGCATAAAATTTACAAACTGTTTAAGCCATGCATAACCCTTGGGATTGGAAAACTTTGTAAAACTTATTGACAATACAGAGATTTCTCTAGATACTGCATAATGGATCATTAACCCTTATCCTATTATATATTATTGCTATTATTGCATGGTACTCAATACATCTAAGCCTTCAACATGATCCAGATTTGAGACAAATCCTTTTTAACCCAGCCAATCTGATGGATGTTTCAGACATTAGACAGGAAAGGGTATATGACCTTGGGAAAGGCAGACCTCGGTTCAGGTGTCCACAAACCTCACCTAATTTGAGATGATCAGACCTAAGCCTGGCAACCATGCAAACTTGAAAAAACATAGATACAGCAGTTGCTTTGGTAGTTTGAGCATCAATTTTCAAGCCTGAGAAAATATGTGCTGAATTCTACTGTGGTCATCTTAACTGAGTAGTTTGTATCAGGCTCTGTTTTGAGTGGATATTTTAGTTATAGGCAATGTTCAAAAAATCGATACGATACGCCCCATATCAGGCGTATCGTATCTTTTGGGTAAAACAGGTGTTTCGGGACCCCACCCTTTTTTAACTCCCCAAAAACCAAAATTTGAAAAAAAACCTTTTCCGTGTGTATCTAAGTGCCGATACGGAGAGGCGTATCGATACTTTGAACCATGGTTATAGGGGTAGGATTTAAATTGGATCAAAAGTTACCCAAACCATCCTACTTGCACCCCTATAGTTCCATGTCCTCCATCAGTGGATATGCTCTGCATGCCTCACAATTCAAGTCACATCCCCTTCAGCCTTCCCTACTCCTACATCTTTCAATCTGAATAAATTCACTTCCAACTGGTGCCATCAGTGAGCTTGCCTGCACATGAATGAACCATCAACCATCTCAGTTTACCAATCCCAGGACATCAATTAACTCGTTATGTGCAAACATGAGTACACATGAAAGAACCATTTGAGATTGAACTCTAAAGGGTATTTTGGATATATCCAACTAAAATGGACAGAATCAACAGATAATGTACTAAATATGGTTAACTCATCATGTGCAAACTTGAGCTTACATAAATGAACTGTCTGAGATTAAATGTGAAAGGGTACTCTGCATATATATCCAACTGGAATGGTCGGATAATGTACTGAAAATGGTTAGACGCAAGGCAACACTAGAAAGGTCTCAGAAAATTTTTTCAAGGATGCACTATTAGGTAGCAGGTGAACCTGGACTGAAACAAATTTTGGAATTAAAAAAGAAATTGAAATAGAACTGCATACTGATGTATATAGAAATTAACAGTAATAGATCAACCTCGATAGTCAGTATAGTATATATGGAAACTGTCCTTTGATAATATTTGCATATTCTTTAATAGTACTATAATTATTTTCCTCAAATGGAAACTGTCTGGCACCATACTGGGACTCGTATATAATCTCTTGCCAGTATCCGAGCTGAGAGGCGGACCAATATTGAAAACCACAATAAAGAATAGCACTAGAGCTTATGTTAAAAGGCAGTAGTTTAAATAATGGTGCTGTATATCATGCCAATAAAAAAAATGTAATCTGATTACCAAAAAAATGTAGTCTAAGCATAATTAGTTGGTGAAGGGCTTATTATGAAAAGTTCCTACACGATTGTTCAGGAAACAACTCAATTACAGGTGATGCTGCAGATGCAAATAAACATAAGAATGCCCAATAGAAATCTTGTCTCAGGTCCCGGTGCTCCTCATGCTCATTTTGTCAACATTTGGACCGATGGTAGCTTTGTTCGTATGAGCTATGCTGGTTGTGGTATTTTACTTGTGAAGTATGATGGTAGACTCGTGTTTTTTTCTTTTTTTTTTTTTTTAAGGCATTATAATGCCGAAGGTGTTGGGCTGGTCTTCTGTTAAGGTCAACTGTGACTGTTTAGTGTTAGTGAATTATCCGAAAGACAACCCCTCTGCAGCGTTTATTGACATTTGATCTTGTTTACTGGAATCATGTAAGTCGAGAAGAGAATTCAGTGGCTCATTTCATAGCTAGCAGGGCTGGTCCGTTAGGGGAATGGATTTATACCATCCCGGACTGGTTGTTCTCGATTATGCCGACTGGTTGTAGACCTTCTGATACTTTATCTTTAATGCAATAATTTTGTATTTTACGAAAAATAGAGTAGTTCCTAATTCCAAATAAATTCGGTTAATTAGATTCCTCCTCAGCCGCCAATCTCTCATGCAATAATATTATTCTCAATATACAAGAAACAAGAAAATACGACAATTCGTAGGATCTCTGTATTGATTTTCTGAATTTCCTAAAGCATAAATTTACATTCCAACAGATACCATACAATTAAAATCAAATGAAGTTTAATTCCATTCCATGGTTGGTGATGTAACGCTTTAACAAATAAGATTAGAACTTCAGGTTTTGCAGCAAAAAATAGGGGGTTCAAAAAGAAAAGATTTAAGACAAAGAAAAATCAAACAAATGGAAGTAGCAAGCACAGTGAATGGACTTACTTAGAAGCAGAGGCGGATTCTTCTTCGAGCCACTGGCGAATCTGACGAACATTGCGTCTGAAAATCGCAGCAGATTGTTTGACGTCGCTCCTAAGCAGAAGAACAACAGCGCTGACTCCCGCGACTGTCAGGATGAAGTTCGTCAAGCCCATTGATGATGTTAGACCTAAAACCCTGTCTCTCTGTTTTTGGGTCAAATCTCCGATTCCCCTAACACCCCCTGCCCACAATACACTACCCCCGCGAATTGGGAAAACTATGCAAAGTTTTCGTGGGCAGGAGATCCCGACTCGTTAGAATAGAAGTAGGCTTAAGGTGTTTTGCTCAAAAACGCAGAAGCAGAGACGGTTTGGCACTTGGCAGTACCTGATTGGTTCAGTCATCAGTGGGTAAGTTCTCTGGGTATGGCCGTACGGGGGACGGGTTATCGCCCGTAGCGTATCCGATGAACCCCAAAATAAAAAGGGATTAGTAGACCGATCAAAACCCACCCATGAAAATATTTTCAGATATGATATCTTTTTCATATTATAATTGAACCCATTAAATATCCTATAGTTTTAAGAATTTTCAAAACATGTCCCTAGTCCCTACTCTTGAACAACTGCAGCCAATAAGTCTGGATACTTCGGCCCCGTTTTGCATTGTTCCTATTCCTGTTCCTAATCTAGAACAGGAATAGGAATGGAATTTCTGGTTAATGGAGAATAACACTATGTTTGACAATTGTTCCTTAGGCTGCGTTTGTTTATGATACAAACGCAGTACAGTGCAAAAAGGCTCCCAGGTTCACGAATGCAAATTGGGTTAACATTTCTAATCCCATTTGTATTGTTGTTGTTTAAACACCTATATTATTTTCGTTGGCATTTGAAAGAACCTATCAAAGCAAATATTAAGACTGTGTTTGGTTGAAGGAAAAAGTAAGAAAAGGAAGGGAAAGGTAGGGAAACATATACAAACATAGCGTGGATGCTCTACAAATGCTCTACAAAATGGGATATGTTTTTCCTATCTTTTCCTTCAAATCAAACATAGCGTAAATGCTCTACAAATAGGGATATGCTTTTAGATATGCAAATGGGGTTTACCTGAAACGTTTAAAGCAGTGGATATGCTTTCAAAAAAAACCAACGAAAAAAAAGTGGATATGCTTTCAAATCTACAAATAGGGTTTACCTGAAACATTGAAAGTAGAAGATAATGCAAGATCTGAGGTGTACCTGGGTGCAAAAGGAAAGGCACTCGGACAAAAATAGGGTTTAACAATGACGGTGACCACCTCTCGTGGACGATCGATGCATCTACGAAGCTCGCCTACTCTCTCTTCGAAGAAAGCAAATGTTTGTATCAAAAAAAATCAATGCAGAAATGTCTCAATTTCTTGAAATAAAGCTGTCAGAAAATACAATTTCCCACCATTTTATAATGCAGAAATGTAATGCAAACAAACGCCTACAAGCATGAATTGGAGTACATAAATGTATCAGTTTTGTATTTGTATGGCAAACAAGCACAGCCTTGGGAGCAAGTTTCTATTCTAAAGAAACAGAAACAGCGTTTGGATACGCTATTAATCTTAAGATGATGAAAATAAAAAACAAGCAAGGAGTGAAGGCTCTTACTTGTGCGACAGAAAGAAGGAGAAACAGAGATAATGAATATCAAAAGCAAGCAAATCTGAAGAGGAAGTTCAAACCTAATACATTTTTACAATAAGCAAGCAAATTGCGTGTCAAACAGAGATAATAAAAATAAAAAATAAACAAGGGAAAAAACACTAAGAAATGAACTAAGCAAGGAGTTACCTGTGCGACGGAAAGAAGGTGAAGATTGATTGCAAGAAAATCGGCTGAAAGACGCGACCGATCAAACGATTGCAGCCTGGTCGAAGCTTTGCAAAGGCTTGAAAGTGTGTCGGCGGTAGGAAGAAGAACCCCACTAAGCTCCACCCTTATGGCTACGGGGTGTCCAGGAAAAATCAAAAAATCGAATTGAACCGAGAAAATTGAACGACAAAATGCGATTAATTTGATTCCGGTTAGGAATTTTTAAAAAATCGAAGGATCGGTTTGGTTTTCAGTTACCTACAAAAAAACCGGCGGTTAACTGAACCGACCAGTATATATATTTATATGTATATTATATATATATTTTTAATATATGTCACCTATTTTCTATATATTATATATAAATATATACTTATATTATATTTATAATGATCTATTTATAAATATATTATATATTTTTAAAATATTTATAATATTATATATATATTTATATAATATATATTACAAAAATAAAAAATCGAAGAACCGAATCGATCAAAACCCGAAATTAGCAGACCGATTAACCGGTGGTACCAATTCAGTTTTGATTTGGAGAAATGAAAAAACCGAAACCACCGGTTCGATTTACCAAAAAAGGCCATGGTTCAATTAACCAAACCGTGGACACCCCTACTTATGACTAAAAAATTGCAAAATTACCATTGCAACCCCACTCAAGACGTGAAGAACCTATACACGTGTTTGTTATTTAACAATGATGTTATGGGAACACGTGTTTGTTTTTTAACAATGACGGGGAACCGCATGTTCCCATTTCTCGTTCTTGCGGAGTGACTAGGGTCTATAGGGCGTCACCCCAAAAAAACGAGCTGGAAACGCACCATTCCCACTCCAAAAGAACATGGAACGATCAAAAATGTCATGCCAAATGTGTTCCTGTTCTGCGGGAACGTCGGGAACGCGAGGAACACTCCCACAGGATGATGCCAAACGGGGCTTTCGTTTCCGAATCACAAACAATACTTTAATAAGCGTCTAATTTGTTAATTAATTTAAAATTTAAGATTTTTATTCTGTAGGTATTTATTTTATATTTTCAAATGAAGAAGACTGGTCTATAAAACGACTCATGTATGCTGTTGAGCTCGTTTGCAAACCTCATTCCATTAGATTTTCTCAAACCTAAAAGAGAGAAAGAAGTTGCAGGCGTTGATAAATCTAATCAAAAGGAGTAAAGACCCACTTAATCTTTGGGCTCTAATAGCGGTGCAAAGATATAGTAGTGTTCTCTGGTTTGATATCACTTTCTTTTATTTTCTAGGTAAATAAGATAAAGACCATTTTAGCCATAAAAATTTATTATTAAAATGGACATTTTTGTCCTTTCCAAGTGTTGGCAACTTTTTGTAAGGTGGGAATGTTATTTATCCACCTGAGAGATGGGTACTGATGATGCACAATCTGGCCGGTCTTAACTGTCGATGATCTTGCCTCTGAACTGAGTAACGGGGACCTGAAACGGAAGGAGAAGAGAAGCTCCGGGGAGAACCCGGCGTAAAGGCTCCGAAGCTCAAGTTAGAATCCTTCAAAGGCAAGAATAACCAGATAGCGCGAAAGTTAGCATACCTTGTTCCTGGGGGGTAGAAGCCTTTTATAACCACCTCGCGCACTCACTTCCAGGCCTCCGTCAGGTCGAGCATGATTACTTCTGAACTCCTGC